ATTGTAAACAGATATAAATATACCGCCTCTTGTGCCTGATGAGGACAAAAACTTTGGTGGCTCTTTCGTTCTGGATTTTAGAAAGTGATGACTTCACGTGAAAACGATCTATTGAGAAATGGTATCGCTGTTTACGACCTTTTTTCCCCCTGATTTTTTGGAAGAATTGTCAAGAGAAAATGAGATGGAATTATTTATCATGAGAATTATATTTAAATATTAGTTTACGTTGTCAGTATCTTTTCTTTACATTTATCGTTTGGATGATGAAAATAAAATGAAAAAATATAAACATGGAAGGAAACTCCATGCCATTCCTTGTTTTCCGGCGGGATCATTTGCGGGCCACATCGGGGATCATTTGCGGTTCGGGATCATTTGCGGAGATCATTTTAAAGTGGTAGGACTGAAAAATCTGGCCAATACAAACAAACGTTAAGGTCAGTGTTTCGCCATTTATCTTGCATTTGAGCGCCATCTGGAGCCCTAGAAAACAAATTCCAGCAATAAAAATGGTAGGCCCCTCCCCCTTCGCGGTCCCTGGCTAAATGAATACAATTAAAGATCCCGTTGAGATACGCACTCTCAGCTGAGGGCTGGTTTCCCGGCTCACCGCAAGTGCAAACTTTAAAGTTTATTACGGCGTTTAACTGTTTTATCAATCGATCAATGCAAACTCTGGTTGATTATATTGCTCATTAGAATTCATTTTCCTTCTTCTGACTCCCATGCGTCCATCAATTTCGTTGTTTACGCACCAATCGGATGCCAAGAGATAACTCGTGCTAGTGTTCAGACTAAATCCTTCTGCCCGAGTAATAAATTGTACTGCTTGCACAAATTGTAGCCTGAGATTCCTGAACTACCTGCGGTTCAATGAGAAACCTTTTGCCGCACTATCGCTTGCACCTGCGCTGAAAAGCGAAAATGGTCCTTTAATATTAGCTTGCATTGATGTAAACTAATTACGATGCTTTGCTGCCCTTCCACACGCCTACTAAAAGTTGCTTTGAGAGCCTTAGAAGGCCCATCTTTCGGTTCCCAGGCTTTCAGTTGCTTAACTGAATGGCTAGGGTAAACTTGACGATTATGAGGGAGCTCACAGAACAATGCAACTCTTCCCATACCCGTTTGCGAGCGTTTAATCTCCCGCGGTTTTTATTTTAACCGCGTCCTCTTGGATGTTGTCCTGACGTAGCCTGTATGCAGACGTGTTAATTCGGCTAATCAGTAAGAGACCTCTACCTGTGGGTTATCGACGATGTTTAGCGAACATAGAAAGTCTGTATACAGTCTGGCTGTACTTCTTATATCTAATGCAACAGCTGGTGACGGGAGGCTGTTGAAGATACCGAGCGTTTTCAATAATCACTCTGACACTTCTCCTCTAAAGCTAATCTGTAACGTGAAAAGCCAACAAAATGGCACAACGTCTCACGGGTGTTTCAGGAGAAGGGGCACTTGATTTCCAATGGCAGCCAGGCACTGTGAGGCATGAGAGTCGATAAGGTTTTCGAGGTAATTATCAGTGTCAGTTAATTTACTCTTTAGGAATTGATACTTTCTAGAGATGAAACGATTGAGCTTACGCACGCAAAACGAGATTATTGGGGTTCTTCATCGAAATTTCTGACGACGACCACTCTTGTGATATTTATGGGGGCTTTCCCGGGGGCAAGAAATTACTTGATTATATATTTTGCTACGTTGTTCTGGCATGTGGCAATCGGAAAGGAAATGTGTTTGACCTTGTAGCTTGTTTGTTTCTCAAACAGATCAGCTTAATTTGGTACGGACAAAATGATGCTTCATTTTAAGGGACAAAACGGACACAGATGTATAGAGAGCCACAAGTTACAGTCACAGTAGCCTATCCAGCGACTATCCAGGTTGTGTGTGTGTGTGTGTGTTTTTTTTTTTGTTTTGTTTTTTTTTTGTTTTTTTTTCCAATGAATGAATTGTTGCACGAGTAACTTCCGAAGAAAAAACTGTGATAATGGTATTAATTCTTAATATTAGTAATCGGCTTTGAACGAGGTTTTTATGCGACGCGTCACAGGAGTAACTAGCAGACTTTGAAGTGAAAAGGGTAACACGTATTCAAAGATTTTTTTTTTTATTGTTTTGTGAGTCCGTTTGCCGTGATTATCATTCGATGTATGCCATTTTGACGCGCTTAATAGACGGTAGTTTAGATCTGCGAGGTCCAAATCAAACATTTCGCGAAAGCGTGACAATCCTTTTTGCGACTTGAAATCGGAGAATCCCTCAATCCTTTATCGTTTACAAGCGTGACACCAGCTGCCAGCCTAGTGTGAAATGTGTGCGTTAGCGGGGCAAAGTACGAAACGCGAGGCTAAAGTAGAAAATCGAACGTATATTTAATTTTCGGCTTTGCGGATTCATTTCTGGCAGTGAGAAGTTTGAGCAAACGAGACACACCGAGAAATAATAAACACACCTACCGCTTTCTTTATTACTTTACGGCTAAGAAACTACTTTTTTTAAAGCGGTTATTCCTAAGTTACTTGGATTTGTACGGCATTAAGCAAGCCACCGAATGGAAACGGCAACGACAACGAGCAAACGCCCTGAATGTTTGTTGCATCCTTAGTTGTTCTCTGCAAAATTATAGCTGGTGAAATCATTCAACAGATCTCTGAGGGTTTTTCGGGATTCCGGAACAACAACGGCAAATTTAACGCGGTTGCTTTACGTATTTTAAGTCAGATAAGTAGACTGAACGGATCTCAAAAAATTCGGAAGATTGGTTGGCAGAACGACCTTTACAAGTGATAGAAGTCGTCTTTGACGTTGCCATGGTGGTTGCTTGAAAACTTATTTTTCTAGCGGTGTTTCATTGACTAATACGGCTTTTAGTTTCGTAACCAATGATAAACAAAAAAAAAAAAGAAATGATTACCTACTGAGTAATGTAGGCTATTGTTCTAAACCTTTAAATGGGATACATTTCATACATTTGATTTGCTAACGCTGATAAGCGGAAAGCTACTAATAAGCCACCTAAAATTTAAAAAAGAAAAAAATAAGCTTGGTGAACACATTATCACTCAGTTTCATGTCACATTCTGTTTCCTGACAGTCTTTGGTTGAAGTGCGTAATTCTTAATTCTACATAATTTACCCGAAACTATCCTTTCGATATTAGCAGTTCCGGATATTGACGATTTCATTAACTTGCCAGTTTTATGTCTATGTTTTAGGATTTATTTTTGTTTCTTCTTTTTTGTTTTTTTTTGTTTTTTGGATAGCAAATGTCTAACCAACAAAAAATGAATGCTCAGAATCAAGGGGATCATCGCGAAACTAAAACTAACAAAAACAGCAACAAAAACAATCAGGACGAAATAACAAACGAAAAAAAGTGCTAAGAATTATTAAGATCAATCCGTATAAGTTGGAACTAAGCATTTGTAATTTAAACATAGTCTCACGGCGCGGTTTGTTTTTCGAGGCCAATTGTCACTTTTAAAGTTAGGGTACTTTGCTTCGCTCCTTATAGTGCTCCCTATAGAAATGAATATATCCCACGATTTTTTTTCTTAAAAGAAAGAGATAGCTTGATAAAAAACGCGTTAAAAATGAATTACTGTAGGAAATACACTTGTCTACTAGAGCGGTCTTGGACATTATTTCTCTGTTACTGGGAGTCAGAAATGTCGAGAAATCCATGAGACGCTGGTAATTGTGACATAAAACAAAAGTTAATTCAATAATGCAGTAACGCGAATTAATGTTACTATTCTACAGACCACAGTGTCTAAGATTCTTAATCAGCGAATATTAGAACTTTCTCAGGTCAAGTTTCGGCGTCGTTCCAAGCCATCTAGATGCTACAGACCACCCCTGCATCCCACCAACGGTTACAGTGGTGATTTCCCCATCCATCGTGACGACAGTTAAGTAGCGACGACTCTCCTCCTCCACAGTGGACATTATTCATCCAGATACGGCCAGAACCAGGGCCGAATGTTGCATGGTAAGTTGCGGAAGCTGCACCGGTAAATCCCAGCTGGCGACACACCACATGCGCTTCTTTTATACCCCAGGAGTGATCACACACCGTTCCCCACTGTCCGTAGACGTACACTTCAACACGACCAAAGTGAAGACCTCCGTCAGCCAGGCGAACGACAGAAGATCCATAAGAGCACCTCACACTGGCATCTCGGCTGTGTGTGCAGTCATGGTTGCCCCACCCACGGTGTCTGCATTCATGCATATGGGCCTCACTCCCTGAGCATGCCACGTCATCCATCCAAATTGGACCAGTTCCTTGACCATGGGTGGCACTGCTGTATGCTCGTAGAGCGCGAGTGAAGCCAAGTTGCCTGCAGAAGACGTTAGCATCGTTCATATCCCATCCGTCATCGCAGATTGTGCCCCACTTACCATCGTAAAAGATTTCAACTCTCCCCTCAGGTGATGGTATTGGTGAGCTGTTGTTTATACGGATGGATCCTCCTGTAATGACTAATCATAAGAGACAAAAATAGACCGGATTTTCATTGAGTGCCGTTAAACCAAAACCACAGTACTCACTCTAGCCAGTCAGATATTATACCGAAATTCAGGTAAACCAATCAGAAATGGGAGCAAATGCACCCAGATGACTCAAAGCACCGTAAAATAAAAGCGAGCCACTATTGGCTTTTGTTTAACTTCTGCCTGGGCTGACAAAAAGGCGCGAATTAATTTTCAATCACTTGTAGAGGCCGGCAACCTAAATCTTTTTGAGAAACCTCTAAAATCGTTTTTACACAATTATTTTGTAATCCATTTTTATAGAGTTTTAGCAATTAATTGTACTTGTAAATTATTTGCAATGGAGTCTTAGTATTAGCTTTTAATATATATTTTGTTTTAGGGAGTATTTTACATAGGGTCTCCCTCCTTAAACTCCCTTTGAGGGTGTCTTTTTATATTTTATTTTTTTAACCCCTAAATAAAGTCTTGAATATGTTTATGTATGCATGTTAGCGTGGATATGTAGGGCGAAAGGCAAATTTTAAAAACCTTATGAAAACCGGTCTAAGTAAATGATGCCCCCGTACACACACAGTATCAAACAGAGTACAGCAATGCTCAAGTGATGAAAATAAACACACACGTAAGCTCAAATCTTAATTTTGTCTCGCGTACCAAATCGACAACGTAACAGCCTTTATTCTCTAAGACAATAGGAAAGAGTTCTCAAATAAGATGTTCCAACGTTCAAACAGGAGTTTTTTTTTTTTTTTTTTTTTTTTTTTTTTTTTTTTTTTNAAATAAGATGTCCCAATGTTCAAACAGGAGTGGTTTTTTTTTTTCTTTTCTTTTTCTTTTATGCGCGTTCACAATTATCGGTCATAATTATTGACAAAATAGGTGCAACACACCAGTCATCATAAAAGTGCTTAGTGTTTTAGACATATATTTTTTTCATTAAATTGCAACGCATCTTACCTCGGTATTTTGCACGAAAGCCCTTGTATTGTTTATTTTGGGCGGCATCGGTTGTAAACCTCACGTAAAGGTTGTTCGCTGAGCTTACGAGAGGAAGAGGTCGCTTGGATCCACTAAATTCTCCAATAACCGGGGAGGAGAGTGATGTGCCATCATATACAGTTAGGTAATCGTCAAGGTACTCGGTGTCAAAACCATCGAAGGTAAGTTCCACCCATGCATTTGAAGTTATATTCCACTGACAATCCATACTGTTTTCGTACCACTCTCCACGCTTATTTGACTGTATAATGCCATCTATTGTAGTTAACTCAACCGTCTTGTTTGGACAGGTGCTGGTAGCGTTCACCACGGGTGCTGTTAAATTAATGACAAATAAAAACAATTTACTTCAAACAGTTACTGTTTTCAAAATCCGTTGTCGATAGTTTCACAAACACATACAATCGCTTGTATTGTATGCACAAAGAAAAACAAAAAGTAAACACAATCTATGATATTCATATAAAAAAAGGTTAGAACAGTTCAGATAGCATTTTTGCATTGTCTAGACCTTTAAACCCGTCATTTAACTTCAAGGTTAAACACATTGTCAAGAGTTCTCGCCATGGTCTATTCAGCGAGTTTTCAATTCCACAGCGATTAGAATATGCCAAAACATTTTCTTTTTTGTTTAGACATACATTTACTTGAATCTACAATTTTATAGTCCCCCTCGATTTGTTTGTTTTTTGTTGGTTGTTGTTGTTGTTGTTGTTTTTTTTTTTGGCTTGATGATGATGATGAAGATGATGATAACGATGATTTCACCGATGTAATACAACTGCTTTGGGCACTCACCACCACAATATTGTTTGCCGTCGCCTCCGTAGCTTGCGTTACATCTGCAATCGTAGTAGCCAGGAATATTCACACACTGGGCTAATTTGTGGCACGAATAAAGACCCAACTTACACTCGTCTATATCTGTTTCGACAGAGAAATTTTAAAAAAAGTTCTTCATTGTGCTAAAATAATACGTTTGCTACAAATTATAATGAAAATGAATGATTCTATTTATTAGGAATTCCAACGACCTCCATATATATGATGTCAATTCATAACTGAAATAAATAAAATAAATAGGATTTTGCAATGGCACATCCCACGGAGAAGCTCTTCGTCAAATGTTTTCAGATCGAATTGGATTTTAGAAGCGTGGTTCTCCCGCTAAGAGACGACAGTGTAAAAAAAACAAATGTCAGTTCATCCGGGTTTTGCAGCATTTCTGTTTCTAAGAAAACTGTTATATTGTTCATAATTATTTCAGCCACCATTCAAATCCTAGCTGGGATAAAAAGATCAGTTGGATGGTGGTTGCTAGTTAATTTGATAAATTTAGCTTGACACTATTTATCACACAATTTCCCAGCTTGTTAAGTGATTTCTACACTACTTAACTGTCCAAAAAAAGTATTTTCTTATGTTAAAGGAAAGCTGTACGAACCCGAACAATTGCCAGCTGCATTCCGCCGATATCCACTATCACACCGACACTTGTAAGAGCCATCATTGTTCACACAAGATGAACCTTGTGGACAGTTGTAGCCGAAGTGTTTGCATTCATCGTAATCTGTAATGAAAAGAAAAATACTAGTACGTATTTCCTTTTACATACTGGAGATGAAAAAGGGGTTATTTTTAGTGTTCAAAGTCATCACTATTGTAAACAAACGCGCAATGTTGAAAGAGGCATTTGTGATGAGAAGTTGTTCAGTCTGCGCTTTCGTGCGATAATCCGGTTAAATGGGTACACTGCAGTAAACATTGCTTCCAACCTATTATCTCATCTGATGGACTCGATTAAAAACGTTAACTCACTAATCAATGCTCGATTTTGAAATAAACCGTTCCGTCCTTAAGGACGCTTCAAGATACCGATGGCTCGTCATACCTTGCTGCAGAATCACCACACAGCTTNAATGAATGAATGACTGCTGACTGACTGACTAAATGAATGAATGACTGACTGACTGACTCTGACTGACTGACAGAATGAATGAAGGAATGAATGATAAGACCAGACCAGACTAAGTTAAAGTATTGCATTAGATCACAATGAATTATGCCAAATTTAATAATACATACCACAGAGATATCATCATGAACTCCAGCAAAGTTTTGTAGTTCCCGGAGACAGATCTTAAAGGAACTCGCGGACACGTCTTCGAGCCACACACTGGCAGCATCGTGCATTAGACTTGACCTGTAGTGTTGAGCAGTTACTAATACCGTTGGTGACCTGGAAAACTTCCCCTAAGAAAAAGAAAAGAAAACAAAGTAGGTGGACTAGTCTTAGAACATTGGCTTCTTGGACTGGGAAATCACTTAAGAGTTGGAAATGCTGCATTTGAATGTTTTCAATATATTTCAGAAAGCTAAAAACTATAATAGGTCAGTTACCTTCGAAAAGGAGACCGTTTGACAACTAGTCCCAGTCCACCATCTAGAGAACATTTCTTCCCCTGCTATTCCTCCAGGAGGTGCACCTTGGTAGGCGACCCAGTCAATTGTGGCGAAGCTATCTGAGGGGTAGTCATTCCTGCCAGCTCGAGTAACACAGGCTGTAAACTGAGTGCTGTTAACACTTTCAACCCAAGGTGTGGCGGCCTCGTGCACNATCGACAATGTTGTGTAAAAGTTGAAATTTCAATGAGGTGTTAATCTAGTTGTCCGTGAAATGTGTTAAAATTGTTTTCTACTTTTTCTTTTTAAGTATATGAAGAAACTGTACCTCCAGCCAATTTGCCAAAGGACCCTTGTGAGAGCAAGCTACGTTGCCATTGTTACTGTCTCCATTGAGGACTGTTGCAAGTACCACGGGTGACTTAAAAAATGGCTCTTTAAACTTGATAGTCTACAAAAGAAGTTGAAATTTAAGATCAAGATATGTTCTGATTCTGCCTGATATATACCCCGATGCTTCAGAATGTTAGAGATTTATGGCCATGTAAATAAGGCTTCCTGTTGTATTCATTATTAAAAGCATATGGAAATGAAATGGACAACTGATTACAAACATAAAGCGATTGTGCTCCGCCATTTGCAACATAAACTGGTGCCATAAATTCATGCTTAGGTTTCTGAAACATTGAAGACCTTTCCAGTGGTGAAGGCTGTATATATTGTGTTTACTTGGAACTATAATCTTATATCCCTCGTAAACGATTATCAGTAATTATCATTATCTGTAACGTGATCAACTTGTCGCCTTTTTATAGCTTTGTTGTCCCACTCTGATGTTCAACATGAACTCCAAAGTTATTGATATTAAACAAAATATACTTACCATGCACAAAGCATAATTATTTTCTGCAGCTGGTACCTCACTCTTGAGAAATACTAGCTTATGTGACTCTTTAGCTTCCCACGAGGATGAATAATTCTCGTACGCTAACCAGTTCTGAAGGATTAAATAAAATAAAGATCTCAATAACTTTAAAATCATTTCTCGTATATGATTAGATGAAAAATCAAATCAAATGGGTCTTAACGGGCAAGTTTCTATTCAGTAAGTGAGAGCAAAGGTAAATATCTAAGGCTGGGTACTTTAGATGTCTGTAATCACCCTTTCCTTTGTGTAAACATTAGTAATGAAATCATTTTTATGAATTCATCACTTACCACTACAATTTTGTTGTGCCCGCCATCTAATGCCCTTGATTCTCGCAAGCAAACCTCGAACTGGTTGATGGTAACATTTTCCATCCAAACATGCATGGCATCCTGCTTTTGCTTTTNAAGGGATTACGGTTCTTTCAAAGACTAGGAAAGGATTCACTACATGAATGAGTACATAGATGAATGGATGTACAGTTTGTTTTCCTTTTTGTTGCTGTCGTTGGTGTGTTAAAAAAGAACCTAATATAGAGCTATATGTTGGCAGGATCAAAACAGAACAGAACTGTGTTTTCCTTCCTGTCGCCACGTGGGAGATGTTAAACTGATCAATGTTGACTTGTAGATACATCCAATATATTGACACAAAAGAATCCTGAATAGATTCACCGAGGGTGAAGAAAAATAGTGTTAGGTTTTCTGACGTATGTGGAGAGATTACACGTTGTGGTACTATGGGAACAGTACTCTGCATTATTTTAATTTTTTACTCATCAACATACGCTGGTATGGGGTGAGGGTGGTTCGGATAATCACACGGGTTGAAGGTGGTTCAGAGAATAACACTTTTAACACCAAGAAGGAAGATGCACGTTTCCATGGTTACCTCCGATAACTAGAAAGTTGACCATTACATCCGTTCTCTGGCCATTGTACCCCGCGCTGTCTTTGATGCAAATTCGGCTGTGAGTTTTGTTCACTACCTGCGAAGGGACAAAAACAAATTTAAGACATACAGTAGATACGCCATAATGATCTTTGAAGAGAGATCAATATGCGTGGGGGGAAATGAGATTTCAAATTCCATCAATATTTAGGAACAAACCATGCAACTATCCACAATGTTGTGTAAAAGTTGTGTGAAATTTCAATGAGGTGTTAATCTAGTTGTCCGTGAAATGTGTTAAAATTGTTTTCTACTGTTTCTTTTAAGTGTATGAAGAAACTGTACCTCCAGCCAATTTGCCAAAGGGCCTTTGTGAGCGCAAGCTATGTTGGCATTGTTACTGTCTCCATTGAGGACTGTTGCAAGTACCACGGGCGGCTTAAAAAATGGCTCCTTAAACTTGATAGTCTACAAGAGAAGTTGAAATTTAAGATTAAGATATGTTCTGATTCTGCCTGATATATAACCCGATGTTTCAGACGTTAAAGATTTATGGCCATGTAAATAAGGCTTGCTGTTGTATTCATTATTAAAAGCATCAGTGAAAATAAAATGGACAACTGATTACAGACATAAAGCGATTGTGCTCCGCCATTTGCTACATAAATTCAAAATTCATAAATTCAACTTTGGGTCTCTGAAACATCGAAGATTTTTCCAGTAGTGAAGGGTGCATATATTGTGTTTACTTGGAACTATAATTTTATCTCCCTCGTAAACGATAATCGTTATCTGTAATGTTATTAACTTGTCGCCTCTTTACAGCATTGTTATATTCCACTCTAATGTTCAACATGAACTCCAAAGTCATTGATATTAAACAAAATATACTTACCATGCACAAAGCATAATTATTTTCTGCAGCTGGTACCTCGCTCTTAGGAAATACAAGCTTATGTGACTCTTTAGCTGCCCACGAGGATGAATAGTTCTCGTACGCCATCCAGTTCTAACGGATTAAATTAAAATAAAGACCTCAATAACTTTAAAATCATATCTCGCATATGATTAGATGAAAAATCAAATCAAATGGGTCTTAACGCGCACGTTTCCATTCAGTAAACAAGGGCAAAGGTAGATGTCTAAGGCTGGGTATTTTAGATGTCTGTAATGCCCCCTTCCTTTCTGTAAACATTGGTAATGAAATTATTTTCATGAATTCATCACTTACCACTACAATTTTGTTGTGCCCGCCATCTAATGCCCTTGATTCTCGCAAGCAAACCTCGAACTGGTTGATGGTAACATTTTCCATCCAAACATGCATGGCATCCTGCTTTTGCTTTTTGGTTCCATGTTGCACAGTGACCTGAACTGTAGGAATCGTCGAAAAGGCCTAATAGTGAAATGAAAAAGTATGCATCTAAATACAATATGAAAACCAATTAGTACTTGTTCTCCTGGAAACAGCTTCATAATCACTGAACAAAGCATAAGTAGTAACCTTGCAGGGAATGGAAATGAATTGCCAGAAATATTTAGCCGAACTGTTATTGGCAAAATTAACAATTGCACCTGTAACAAGGAGCCTGTTGGGAAATTGCTCCCACTGTCCTAGTTTGGGATATTCGTGTCAAGGATGTCTTCGATGCCAGAGAAAACTTGACAATACGATGTAAAAAAATAATGACTGGTCTCAATATCACAAATGCGTCGAAGTCCAATAAAAACAAGAGAGCTAAGGTATTCTATTTTGCCCAAACCGATGCGGCCTTTAAAATTTTGGCAACCCTTTAATTTTAGTTTGGATGTATGCAGTCAAGCGAAAGCAACTCTTTGTTTTTTTACTTTTCCTGTGCATTAATAAATTACGAAGCAGCCAAGTTTTTTT